GGGTCGTGGGACCTACCGAGGCGAGGCTTGCGGGAGGAGGTGGGCGGGGGGCGGCGGCGGCGGTTGCGGAGGGCGGGGGACGGAAGAGCGGGGTTTTGGGGGGGTAGGAGGAGGTCGTGGAGGATTGGGGCGAGAGTGGAAGAAGGCGGAGGGGTGTTAGGGGACGGGGATTCATGGAAGAGCGGCTTTGAATTGGAGGGAGGAGGGGAGGGAACGCGGAGAGGGAGGGAGAGGGAGAGGGCGAGGGATAGCTTATCCGCCATCACAGCACACACAGAGAGGAGAGGGAGACGGCGAGGACTTACATAGAATACAGTCGACAAGATATTTGTTTTCATTTTATAATAATATTAAAAATAAAAAGATTTTAACTTTAAAAAATATCTTAAGAATATAATATATATATATATATATATATATATATATATATATATAGATAAATTAGAAAACAACAATGTTGCTCAGACATTCAATATTATTAATATACAGTTAAATAAGTGATAAGTGATAGATCTTAGATTCGAATTTATGTATTAACATATGTTGATTTAGTAAAATATTTAAAAATATAATAAAAATATTATTATGATTTTTTAAAATAGTTTAATATTTTTAATTTTAAACCTCTATAAATAAAAAAGTAAATTGATGAGTTGAGACAAGTGAATTCAAATGTTTAATATTTTTTCTTTAATTATCATAAACAAATATGTGTTTGAAGTGTGAATGGTTTTGATTTTTAGTAATCGAAGAAAGTTTGCTAGTGGATACGAGTGACCTCGAGAGATTAGATCATCCATAAAATTACTATAAAATTAATTCTTATATTATTTAATAATCAAATATTTATCTTTTTCTTCTCAAAAATTTTAAATATATTCTTGTACTAATTCATCTCACCAATCAATATCATAAATTAAGTTGGTCGAAATCATCGACCAATTGAAAGCATTGATTTATTTTTAGTGTAATCCATTAACTTATTAATTTTGCATCATTAGGTTTAAAATATTTAAATATGAATTGATAATAATTATTCATCATATTTTTATGAGTCAATCTAATTTTTTTTCTGATACAAAACTAAAATAAACTAAATTAAAATGTTCCAATTAACTCATATGAGAGCATGATGAACTCAAATATCTTCTTAAAGAAGTTTTGCTTTAGTGATGGACTCCACTCATCTCAAATATAAGAGGAAAGCAACCGAAATGAGAGTCTCTTGCCTTAGCGCTCGTCTCAACTACTTGTCCCTTTTTCTTTTTTTTTTGTCTGTCCTATATTTATTTAGATATGTCAGAAGATGATGCTACTGCTAATATCGAACATGTTTTTTTTATCATTGCATATTAATATTCATAATCTACAAAAGAAAAAGATATTGAATTTATATTAAACATGTGTTTTTCACTAATATAACTATATATATATATATGATAATTGTTTTTAAAAAAAAATACTTTGAGAAATTCTCATAGTAACACCCCTTCATTCATAAAAAGATAATTTTATCCTAGACTCCGTTTGCCCCTTAGATTGCCTTACCTTTGCGTGCATTCCCCCACCTTTTTATCGTCACCCTCATCCCTCACGATCATTATGTTTGTAATAATCAAAGAGGGCGAAGGAGAATCAACCTGGTCGCTTATATCTTCACGCATAAGTCTCCCTCTTGCTTGTTACCATCGTCCACTCTTAGCTATCTTTATCACACATCATCACCCTAGCTTCCTCTCCTCTCTTCCTTTATCGTCATCTTTATTGTTGCCCGTGCATCTCGCCCTCACTATCCTCACCCATGCCTCCTTTGTTACCAAGGATGACAAGAACAATGGTGACGACAAGCGAAGGGTGGGAAGCCCACACACAGAGACAATGACGAACAAACTTGTAAGGGTAAAATTAGTTTTTATGAAATAAGAGATGCTGCGATGGAGAAATTTATCAAATTTAGAGGTTTTATTTCTAGAATTTACCATATGTATAACGATGGATAGGTCAACTTACCTCATAATGTCTGTTCTGTGGTTCAAAATTTGAATTCTCTTTGGTTCCCGATGCTGGCGGTGCCACCGCCCAGTCCGGTGGTGCCACTGTCGGACCTCTCGGGTGTTGGGTGGTGCCACTGCTCAGTCCAGCGGTGCCACCGCTTGGTTCTCGGGTTCTAGGTGGTGCCACCGCCTACACTATTTCAGCTCACTGGTTGGGCTCCAAACTTGGCCCAAACCAGTCCGAACTTGGGTCCAATTGGCCCCTACTTGAGTTATAAGATTAACACCTAATCCTAACCCTAATTAACGTGCTAACTACGAATTTAAAGATATTTTCTAAGCTATTACAAAATCCGCAAGTCAAGACTTTTTCCGGTGAGCTTCCGGCGAACTTCCGACGAACTCTCGGAAACTATTCTACGGACTCCCGGCAAGCTCCTAGACTTCACGATTTGATCTTGGCAAGTTCCAATGAGCTTCTTCGGCAAGCTCTGATCTTTCTCGGTGAGCTCTGTGAACTTCCAACGAACCTTCCGGCGAGCTTCCGAAAAACCCTTCGACAAGCTCCCTACTCATTCTCAGCTAGTTCGGCAGCATTCCCGACGAACCTTCGGACTTTCGTCGAACTCTCGAACTTACAACAAATCCTTCGCGCTTGACTCCGACACTTTGTTTCGCTTTATGTCTTCGTCGTTATCATAGTTAATCCTACACACACACAAGCCAAAACTCTACTCCGACCTAGACAATTATTACAAAGCGAATTGACATTCTGTTGCCCGACACGTCATTGGTTGGCGCTTTGTCTGATTCTTCGGCGCATCGTCCTCTCTTGTGGCTTGTTGCCCAATCGACGATTGACCTCCGCAACCCCAATATCCTTGGCGCAATTCCGTTCTTGGCCCGATGCCCGACGTCCGAAGCCTTCTGCCATCCAATATCCTAATGTGATCTCCTCCGGCGCAACGTCAATTCCTCCTACGTTAACTATCTAATCCTGATCGAGTAGACCTTCATCACTCAAAATGCAGTTAAACATCTAAACACAATCAATTAGTTTCATCATCAAAATTCGAGATTCAACAAAAAAAACCCAACTCCCATACAACAACAAATAATATCACAACAACCTCCTCTAGCCTAAAGATAGAGGTAGAGATGGATAACACAAAAACTCAAATGAATTCTAGAAGCTTTGGGACATCATTTTCTAATTTATAGCCTACATTACCAACCTTGATCATGGTTTTCTTTCTATTTTTTATTTAATTAAAAATAAAAAATTATTTGAATTTTTTAAAAAATTTTATTCTGATTCCGATTTGAATTGTTAATTTTTGAATAATTAAAATATTTTAAAATATAAAAAATATAAATTTATTTTTAAAATATAAAAAAAATAGATGTATAACTATAATCACTCTAATGACTTTAAAAAAAAGTTAATATAAAAAGGTAAAATTATAAAATTTTAATGAAGCTAAATAACTCTATAAGATTTAAATCCAAATTAATTGCTTTTAAAGTAAGTATTTAACTACTAATATCATATCATAGACCTTATATATGTTTTATTTTGATTTTTATTATATTTAGACAGTTTAGAAACCATAATTGTCTATTTAAAACGGTTAATACCGATTCCGATTAGGTTTGAAATTGATGAACCATTGAATCGATTCTATTTCCGATTTAAATAAAACAGTGATCTATTGAATTCATTGCACATAAAATAATTTTGAATATGTATATATTCACCTTTTCCGAGTTAGCTCCTAATCAATATAATTATTTGCGTATTTTCCATAGCCATACGAAGCGAATTGAATGATATCGAAAAGGTGTTCGAAGTTTTCTTTCGTCTGTGTACGTACGTGAAGATGTGTTTAGATGAGCAAATCACTTTGATGACGATATAGCATCAAATCAAAATCTTTAAATGCTTGTCATGTATCGATTTCGATAACTCAATAGGCCGATATGGGTAATAAAAATATCGATTCAATTAATCTATTAATGTTAGCCATAAATCATGAGTTCCATCATTCAAACTAGTTTGTTGTTCTTTATACACGAATATAAAGAACCTTTGAGATTAGTGTTAACCTGATCAAAAATATTTACCTTGCCCTATTAATCGACGGCAGCCATTAATCAATAGATATAATGGGGTATATTACATATTATTCTAGTAGTTAGATTCTTTCAACAATTTAGTCCCTAAATTAAAAAAAATATATTAATATCTCCATAGTTATTGAAGAAAAATATTTAATCTCATTTATTCTGATGTCCATCATTTATTTTATTTATAAAAAATATAATACTCATACAATTTATCGATTTTATCAATGAAAATAATGATCATTTTAGGTATTATCGATTTTACTAATAATAGCACCACCTCGAGTTGTGCTACTTCCATCGCCTCAAAAATTCTATTGACCTCACCCGATCGATCTTGTCCGATCCTAGCCTATCTCTCCTTAGTAATAATCCTCTTTGTCCTTCCTAGTTTTCCATCTCTTATTTCTCGACCAAGCCATCAGTATCTGACCTTGATGTTATCGATCCTTGGTCACTCCCACGACTTCCCACTCTCTTATCAGTTAGACACCATTGGGAGGGGGCTAGCGGCGGTTCGTGGATTGAATTGGATTGGACCACCACTATTAGGCCTTCACCGATGACATCCACATCTACGATGTGGTGTATTGAGTTTGGCATCCGTGGGGGCCCCATGCTCCGCTCGTAGTGCTCATCCTTCATGCTCATCAGGATCAAAGGATCGTTGAATGGTGTTCATGGTCGACAGGTACGAAAAGAGAAAAGAATGTGTTGTGATCGATGCTAGCCTACGATATGGCGACCAATGCATGGGTCCACTTGCCTAACATGGCATGGGAGCCCGACGAGTGTCGCAGCTTCACGCACGACGTGTTCCATGTTTTTGATGGCTTCTCCATGATGATAGGAGCATAGATCTCGCGAACAATGAAGGCCTTTAACATGGTTGCTTGGAGGTGGGGCACCAGCGCACGTGCATGATCGATGACGATAGGAGTATGCGTATGTGCAGATGAGGGAGTAGATGGAGGTGCTACGGGAGGAGGGCGAGGGCGACAGGGCATAGCACCTACCGGCGGACCTACTTGGTGACACGAATGTGTTGTTACTATAGATAACAAAACTAGTAATAGTTGAAACAATCATTTTATCATTCGTAATATCGATAATTTTATATCTTCTATTAATAAAATTGATTATGCTTAAAGAAATATGGATAAGTGACTCACTTTCATGACTATAAGGAGGTCATTATAAAATTCTTAAATTTAGAATTCAAGATGCACAGAGGGCCTAACTATAGGGCAATTTTTAATTAATCCGATATAATGCTTTATATTTCATGTTAGAATAAGGACAAAATGTTACAAGCTTAGAAAGATTATATTCTCTATGAGCCAGTAATTAAAATTTTATATTTGGCAGATAGAATTAATGCTTCGTCGAATTAGTCAAACATTGTTCAGGAAGAGAAGAAGGATTCTTTGACCGAGTCAACGCGTGGAACGGTGCAACTTCGCTGCTTTTCCATGCCGTGACAGAACGTGACGCATGCATGAGTGCCCTCAGTCTCACGACTTGACTCCACTTCGCTGCGGCCAATGGATGCGCCTCTCCACGCGCAGATCACCACCACCACCGCCGCCTCGAGTGGCTCGTCGCGCTGAAGACCGGGATGGGTGATTGCACCACCCGACCGACCCTCACACACGCAAAACCAAACCCCACGCCCACGACGATGGCGTGCCTTTCTCTCCCTTCTCCTTCCGTGCGCCTTCCTTTTTGACCGCTGACTTCCGACACCCTTTCTCCCTCCCTCCCCCTTCATTGATGGATAGTGTCTCCCCCTTGAAGCTTCCATTACAGAGTCCTCTCCCCTCTCCCCTCCTCGTTGTACCCCGTTATCCTCGAATGGCTTCTCTTCCGGTGCTGCTTCCCTGCCTCCTCCTGCTCCTCGCCGCTTCTCCGGCCTTGTCCACCAACCCCGAAGGTGAGCTCTCTTTCCTCCCTCGCTGCTCTTCGAAGAAGAAAGGTGAGTTCTTTTCTGATTTGGGTTGGGAACAGGGGAAGCGTTGCACGCATGGAGGACGCGGCTGACGGATCCCACCAACGTGCTGCAGAGCTGGGATCCCACCCTCGTCAACCCCTGCACCTGGTTCCATGTCACCTGCGACTCCCAGAACCGTGTTATCCGCCTGTAATTTCTTCTTCCCGTCCCCTTCCTCTCTCAAATCACCCACCTTTACCCTTTTCCCTTACCAAAGACCGAACTTTCGTTGCAGGGACCTGGGGAACTCCAACATTTCCGGCTCTATTGGCCCCGAGCTTGGCGGCCTCGAGCGCCTCCAGTACCTGTAAGTCCCTCCCAGGCTTTCTTCTTTCGTCTCTGTCCTCTGTCACCATAAAGATGGGATCTTGATTCACGGATGGTGTTGCCTGGGTTGCAGGGAGCTCTACCGGAACAACTTCCAAGGCAAGATCCCGGCGGAGCTGGGCAACTTGAAGAGCCTCATCAGCATGGACTTGTACGGGAACCAGCTGCAGGGAGAGATCCCCAAGTCCTTCGCCAAGTTGAAGTCACTTAGATTCTTGTGAGCACATTTGCTTCTTCATTGCTCATGCACAAACATTGCTTCTTCTTCCTCGTCGAAATTACAGTATCAATTAGCTATTTCTGATCACCTTTTGGTTGCAATCATCTCTGCAGGCGGCTAAACAACAACAGGCTTTCCGGATCCATTCCCAGAGAGCTTGTCTTCCTCTCAAATCTCAAAGTCCTGTAAGGAACAATGACTTGACATCCAAATTCATGTGTTTCTTTCACGTTTCTAAGATCTAACACCGAAGAATCTCTTCTAAATTTGTTGCAGGGACCTCTCAAACAATGATCTTTGTGGAACCATTCCGATCGATGGGCCATTCGCCAACTTCCCCCTTCAGAGGTACTGACATTTTTTCTGAGATCTCCCAGCATATGCTAAAGAAGAACACAAATGATCCATTTATTAGTTCAATGCGGACATTGGAATCAAACCGCAATTAAAATACTAATAATTGGGGTTCCATAACCCACAACCACTGATTGGAAAATGAGGAAGAATTGAATTGGTTTGTGGGAAAGCCTATTCAACATGAACTGTCAGGTGAATAGGATTCTCATCATGTGACATTTTGGTGGCCAATTTCTGCTCTATGTATGCATCCAACAGGAATTACTCTTTAATTTGTGAACCAAACTTTTAGTTTTTGACACGTACTACCGTGCGATTATTAGATCGCTAGAAGATAAGAACAATGCTTATGTAGCTGCTACATTTGACGGCTCTATAACATATAGGTAATTTGGTGGTTGATGTAGGACGGAGGGGATGACTGCAACAGTTAGTATAAGCTTATCGTTGTCTTATCATTTCTAAGTCATACAAACAACTGCACTTGAGGCATCCAATGGTTAAGTTCGTTAGAGATACGGTTAAGTCTCAACCGTTACATGGAGTCGATGCAAATGGAAAACCTGATTGCAGTATTTCCAAGAATAAGATAAATTCTTAGTTGATTATATTTTGCTGAATGGCTTGGTTCTTGGATCAATTATGGTAGCACATGTAGGTTCAAGAGGAGCAAAATCAACAGTAAACGTGTTAGAGCATATTGTAACATTTCCACGCTTAAATTCACGGATCACGGATGAATTATTGCACTCTATGTTCTTTTATCGCGGATGTTCTGCATTTTTTACTTTGAGCTCAAGTTTAAGTTGTTGAAATCATTGCTTGCATTTTCCGAAGCTGCACATCTTGCGGGTTTTGTCTGTCAAGGTTATTTCCCGCATGAGATCTATTCGGGTTTTAGTCATCAAAATGTAATTCCTTGCTGTTTACTTGGCATTTCAGTTTTGACAACAACAGCAGACTCAATGGACCTGAGCTACAAGGCCTGGTCCCTTACGATATCGGCTGTTGAATCCTACGATATCGACCGGTGTTGGTGCATACCGCCGTCGAGTGCTTCCAGATACTTAGAAAGATGGCTATAGTACAAAGGTTTAAGTTACAGAATCTTGGAATACCTATAATCTAATATGCTATGTTTAAAGTGTTATGTGGCAAAAGAATCTACATCAACAATGAACACATAAATTGGGATGAAGATGGGACTTGTTTTGGTTTCCTAGCATTTTTCTGAGCTGTTGTTTTAACCTAATTGTCATGGCAGTCTTCACCCGTATACATATTTCAGCCCATATATATATATTTGCAGTTGCAAATAGTATCGTCATTCCATTAGATCACTCTTAGCTCAACAGTGGTTCAGACTCAACGCATCAATGAGTATGATAGGTTTAGTTTGGGCATAAGCAGAAGTTAATAATGGTTGGAATAAGTTAATGTGAATTGAATCATGATGAATGATATATTAAATATGACGATAGACTCGAGTAGGAAGAAGAAATAAAGTGTGAAATTATCGGGTTAATTATAAATTATGTAATATAATTAATTATCTTTAATATTTTGATTTTTTATGTTTTTATAATTATGTTAATATTTTTTTATATTTATAAAAACAAACTATTTGGTTAATTTTTTTAATCATTATTTTATGATATATATCATTAAGCACAATTTATCTCATTTATCGTTGAGTAATCGATGATATGAAAAAATAAATATTTTATTTTTTATAAATATAAAAAATTAAATATAATTTTTAAAAATATAAAAATAATCTATAATTGACTACATGTCTAACATCATACTAAGATTTGATATGAAATGATCGTTGACTTTCAACAAACATACAACATGAAACAGATTCAACAATTTGCTTGCCGGACTTGAGCATCCACTGCCCGATTTAACCAAATTGGATTCATGCTTTCTGGTGCTCTAATAAATAGAATCCAGGAAATAAAAATGCAAGAACTAAGGATTTCCGAGTGAGTATACATCAAAATCAGGCATTATGACAATTTGAGTGCTACAGAAGGGGAAGATAAAGGCTCGATCGGGCGGTACTACAAGCACGATACATCGTCCAAGTGCTATTAATTGTGACGAAGATCAAAGGTACATCAAATCCATAACAGTATGGGGATGAGTTCATAGCAGCAACAGAACTGCCTGCACAGCCCTCACTTTCATAGCAGCAACAGAACTGCCTGTTTTATTGGGTCCTCATCCTGCTATTCTCTGCAGCCCTCACTTGATGGAAATATGGATGCGCCTGCAAAAGATAAACGAAGCAGCAATACAACATCCGTGCTATAAAGGCTTGTGTTGACGTAGAAAGCAAGCACAATCAGGCTTTTAGAGAAAGATAATAACATAGTTGTTCATAATAAGGTTTATTATCTTGGATGACAATCTCAAGCAGTACATAGACCAATATGGTAATGAATGTATCAGATGTACCATCCTATGTCGGTCAATACATGCCGGGCACTGGTCTTATGATCTTATCAATATTTAAAACATTGGTTCATAGGCCTGAGTTCCCCTCATGATAGATCCTTCATATGCATTTGGCTGTCTCTTCAGGAATTGTAGTAATGAAATTTCCTATTAGCAGTTTTGCAACCAATTTAATTCAATCACAAGTTTTTGCAATCACTTTTCGGAGAATGATTCATAAAAATCCTTTAAACCCTTATCTACAGTCTTTAACTAAGTTGGTTTCACACTGTAAAATTCATAATCACACTTTGACAAATTAAATCCTCTTTCCAGGATTTCCTACAGTCTACTATGGCTGAAATTTTTTTTATTAACATAGTCTCTCCAAATATTCTTGGAAAAAAAAAATTCAACTGAAAATATGCTGCCTGTAGATGTTACAATGTCAATCAACAAAATTGGGCATTACATGCAGGATTCTCAATCATAATCAGCAGCACAATAAGAGTTCATTTGGAATAAAAGCAATATCTTATATGAGTTCAGAAATACTACCATTGCTTCTCGCGCTGTGAGCCTATCCTGGTGATCATATTGAAGGAGTTTATCAAGAAAATCTATTGCCTGCATGCAAATTTTCAGCCATAGTCACGTTGGAGGGCTATTGGGAATGATGATAACAAAAGAAGGCAAAAGTAGATATCTAAAGGCCAAAGTATATTGCACATTAAAGCTACAAAAGAAGCACAAAATAAGACCTCTGGAGAAACAAGATGCTGATTGTCTGCATTGATAAATTTAGACCATGGTTTCCTGCTATGCCTGCAGCGAAAAAAGCAAGACTATGATATTGGGATAAAAAATGCAAGACTCCATCCCACTGGGAGTATAGTACGTCACATATAAACAACCACTATCTATCATGTCCACATGAAGAAACACAATCATACCTTCCAACAAGAGCATCAAGCTGTGGATCAAGCTCTAGACGGTACTTGTTAAGATATGCATTGAGTTCATCAGTACCAAGTACCTGAAAAATGAAAATAAGAATTGACTCCAAACCAACCCATATGGTTCTCCTGAAAAATACAAACTAATACACAATAAATCTTGATTACATTTCAACACGACCATCCATGTCTCTCGACTCTCAATTACCTAGTAATATTCTCTGTTCCTTCCATCTTGAAAACCCATGTCCCCACAGTATCAATGCAGCCAGGTCTATAAAGGGTCAGCTCTAGTCTAGTTTGCATTCATATTAAATTCAGGTTATTTTGGTCTAAGGTTTAATATTATGGTCCAATACCAGTTTCAATACCTTATCGGACTGGTGTAGTACCAAGATACAATCTTATATCATCCAATACGAGTAAAAAAAAAACCAAATCATATGGACCAGTATCAACCCTTGGTGGGACCAGCATAAACCACTTGGTATCACAAAGCAGGGATGGGTGGGATCACATGTCGGAAATGGTTAAAGTCCCAGTTGAAATGGTTAGTTGAGTATACACAGAAATTTCAGCAACAAGTGGCTCAGTGGCTCCATCACCTGCACAATCACAAAGTGGGATGCGTCATCACATATCGGAATTAGTATACCTTAACCTTACACTCTTGGAAGGAGAAAGATGAGGCCTCCTTGTTTAGAAAGTGAAACCAAAGAAGATCTACCAGATACCATGTTTCAAAACTGCTTTAGAAAGTGATGATACATTGGCAGGCCCATACCAAGATGCACATGGTAGTTAAATGTCAAAGTGGTTCTGGAAGGGGAGGATGAATGAAGAAGAAGAAGAAGAAGAAGAGAAAAGGAAATATTTTATATAATAACATCCTTCTCAGGTTCAGTGGCTAAACAAAGAAAAGTACACCACAAATAGTTGCAGCTCTGGCATCACATACATTCTAATGGAGTTAATGAACAAAGCCTTATGAGATACCAGATTATAAAGACAGTAAGGTCACATTAGCAATTTGATCAATAATAAGATCATAAAATTTTTAAAAACCTTCTAATTATATCTTCTAATTATAATGCAACCACATTTCTGGAATGACACTTGATAAATAGGTCAATGAAACCACCACAAATGCTGATAGGATTGGGTCCTTTTGTATTAGCAACAACTCTACATGTGTTTGGTGTGATGAACCTGTTGAATCTATCGCTCACCTATTTTTTCAATGTTCTTATGCTAAACGGGTGTGGGATCTTATTCATTCCCATGATGCTATGGCATTCAAAACCTTGATTGCTACTTCTCTTTGGTACCTTTGGAAAGCATGAAATGATAAACTTTTTAATAACACACAAATACAGCCCTTCACCCTACTGTGTAGAGTTGTTGCTGCTGCTTATACTGTGTTGACAATTGCTATCCCTGAGGGAAATAAGAGGAAACAAGAAATTCTTGTCAAATGGATCCCTACACAAAAGGGCTGGATGGATCTTGGGACCACAAGGATTTAGGGGGAGTAGGATTTATTATCAAGGACACTAATGGATTACTTTTAATCTTTGGATGCAGGCAGCTTGTAAGAAGGAATAATATATACTGTGAGGCTTGGGCAATTAAGGAAGGGATTCAAGCAGCTTTGCGGGCTGGCATTCAAAGATTATTAATCGAGACATTCTCTTACAATTGTCAATCTAATTTCCAACAAGATTGACCCCCCAAGGGGAGTTTTGAATATAATTAAGGATACATTTTTCTTATGTACTCAATTTTTGGAATGGAAGATTACCAATATCTATCAGGAGGGAAATCAACCAGCAAATTAGCTTGCAAATCATGAAAGAATGCAAGCTGACACTGTTATTTGGCAGGCTGAACTGCCTTCTGTCTTAGAGATGTTGGTTCGCAATGATGCGAACAGCAGTGGTTGTATCAGACTTGGTTAAGTTTTAATATATTTTTAATTTTCTTTGGTAAAAAAAAAAAAAACCACCACAAACTGCATCAAGTACAATAGGCTAAAATAACAAGTTGTCATCTAGTACAAATTCACTTCTGATCAGAATCTGAATATTTATTTAATAAGTTTCGAAATTTGGAAAGAGAATCAACATACAAGTTCAATGAAATTTTCTGTTAAAAGCTAATGCAAATAAATTGCATTGAATAACCTTACATCCAAAGCAGAAAGAACAAAGTTTAACTGATATTTACCTTAGCAATTTTAACAAGCTGATCATGATTGTCATGACCATAGAAGAAAGGTTCCTTGCGAAATATCTGTAATCAAACAGCAGAGATGTGTAAACCATATACAGTTCTTAGTGTTGATTGCAGTGTGCCTTAATAGTGTTCAAAAGACTAAGCATTTCATTAGATAAATTTTCCAACAGAGATCACTTACCATTCCAGCAAACATGCAACCAAGACTCCACATGTCCAGTGAATAGTCATAATCTTGCAAGTCAACCAGGAGCTCAGGACCCTTGAAGTATCTGGATTCCAACAAACTCATTTAAGTACATTACTAGAGTTTAGTCTAAATCTAACAATTAGACATGTTTAGGAAACATCCATGATAAAGAATTCATCTTGTATTTCATCATTTTGGTTGTACGAGGTCATACAGATTGACATTTAGAAAGAAAGGTTCCAGATAGTCATGGCTATCTAAATGTCCGGCTGGTTCCTAAGGCAACATCAACTCATAAATAGAGCAGTAATTCCAGATAGTCACGGCTATCTAAATGTCCAAAACATGATAAAGTTGGACTTCAGACTCATTACTGTTTAAGATGTTACAAGAATCTAAGAA